GTATCAGGTATAATCCTTCCCACTTCTTTTTGGTTCAGATCTGGTTCAGTTTATGGTTCAGAATTGATTCTTGAAAATATGATTTTCTAAATGGGGAATACGATTCCCAGTTGAAGGGAGAGAAAAATTTTTGAAATTCGCCCCTTATTCCGCAATCTTTTGAGCGTCCATAGGATGGATCTCTCATCCCTTCACTCGGAGCACTATTAGAGATCGGGTCAAGCCCGAACGTATCATATAAATTAGGATGGGATAAACAAATATACTTAACTCCTTTCAAAATGGTGATAAGGTGGGCCCGTTGTTTTTACTAACTTCCCTCAGTTTGGAATGCCTCGCTCCCAGCAAGCCTTCTCAAAGAAAAATTCGATATTCTCAAGCATCATCTTGGCATTCAAAATTTCAAGAAAACATCTTACCCGACCTTAATCCGTCCATCCGTGAACACAATCTTCTACCAACTCGCCTCAATAATCAATGCCACAGTTATTTAAAATCAGAACAACATCTCCGCTCAAATATGTTTTCTAATTCAAATCATGAGAACGACATCTTTAGAGATCAGACCAGGCCTCATTTATCATTAAAAATCGAGATGCAATTGCCCAATATGTCGGCTCCCTTATGAACTATGGACTTATAAGGCTGAGACATTTGGACATTAATAGAGATCGGACCATGAACTTAGATCGTCCAAGATAGGGATGGGACAACCAAATATATTGACTCATTTAGAAACCTGCCCCTCCCAAATTTTTCAAGGCAGATGTCACCAAAGTCAATCTTGTGGTAGGACTGCATCTCGGTTGAAATAATTTTTTAGTAGGAAGGGTAGACTACGCATTATTAGAGATCAGTCAAGGGCATGTGTTATCATTTCAAACTGGGATGGTGTTAAAGGACTGACCTGTCATTCTAAGAACTTGTCGAATGGGCAATTTTAGAAATCAGAACAAGGCATGAGTCATCGTTTAAAATCGAGATGGGATCACCCAATATATTGACACATTTAGTAGTGGTCTTGGTATTATAAGGATGACACGATTTTTTACTAACTCGGCTTACTTATGGACACCACATTCAATTGAAATCGAGACTACATCTCAGCCCAATTAAGTGTTTTCATAGACATCGTGGAATGGGCATTGTTACAGATCAACATGCCTAAGTTCGCATTTAAAATCAGAATTAGATTACGCAATATATTGTCTCCTTTAGGACAATCTCTGGTCTTATAACACTAACCCCTCTTCTACTAACAAATAGGTTGGGTATTATTAGAGATCGGGTCAAGCCCAAACATATCATATAAATCAGGATGGGATAAATGAATATACTTACTCCTTTCGACATGGTGACAAGGCGGGCCTGTTTTTCTACTAACTTCCCTCATAGTCACTACAAGCTATATGGCCCTTTGTATACTTATTCCAACTCGAGCAACTGTGGATTCTGTAAACATCTCCAAAATAGGACAATGCACATCTGCAAGTTCACTCACCACCTGAAAAGCACATGCCAAAACAAGGATCAATTTTTTGTATGGATCCGAAGCAAGAATCAATCAACCAGTTGAATATGTGGATGAATCAAGCCTCAGCCTCTTATCAAAAAAAAATCAGCATTACATTCGCTATGGATAGGGAGAAGTTGGTTGTTAAGCATATAGGATATATTCAACTAACATGTGAGAAATTGTACATAGACTGGAGGATAGCACATCTTTGGAAGGAAAGTCAACGAATGCTCCATTTTTTTTACTTTAGGCCATCATTTAACCAATGAATAAACTAAGAAGTCTTACAAATTATCTCTTCTTTTCAAAAAGTTAAGGTTCTAATAGGTAATAATAGTTGTCCATGACCATGAGAGGTCAACACATTGGATGAGAAAACAATTGAAGCAGTTTGGGTTTTTCTTTTTGAGTTAATAATGGTGTGAGTAGATTGAAGCTTTAGGAGATTCCATCTCCTCTAGTGAATATTCCAAAGACTCCTTCCATTTGATCCCAATAAAATTCTGATGAGTTAATATTAATAATAATACAATCACCTTTTAAGGGGGTCTAGCCTATTGATTTTTTTATGCTGGACATTTAGCTTCTTAATTACATAGTTCGTCTCATTGTGTTGTATACCCACTATACAGTCTCTTAGGGCCTGTTCGTTTCCTCTTAACTCTTATCTCTTAAGAGGAATCTTTTAACTATGGTTGTCCGTTTCCTCTTATCTCTTATCTCTTAAAGTGCAACCATACAACGTTTTGTTTTCCAATGATACCCCCAAAAACACAAACAAAAACTCTCATATATGGGGTCAAAATGGATATTTGATCATTTTCAGAATTCAGAATTCAAAACAACATTCTCTACATTCAGAGTTTAGAGGAAAGAAAAAGTTCACCAATACCAATATACCTTTTAATGTAATTATTGCACTTTCAGATGTCAGACTCCAGAGCAAACGAACAGGCCCTTAGTGTACATGTGTAGATTGTATATTTTGCTTTTTTTATAAATGAAATAATTTTATTAATCAGCAATAGACAATAGTACAAAGTCCCCAAGGAAAGGCACGARWTGCAWCCTCTCYGGGCTARTTAAGTACAGATTTCCAAATTAATAACAACTTACAAAGAAGCACAAAAAAGATCTTCCCTAGAAACCCCCTGTTTGGCTAAAGCATCAACCAAAGAATTAGCA